GGAAATTTATAGACCATGAATTCATTTCTTCACTGAAAGGTAACTTAACTACAGCTTCATAGGATAAGCTGTTGCAAAATACTACTAAAATGGCATCTGAACAAAACTGAATTTTTTTCAATTCAAGAAGATGAATATTTTAAATATCTCCATTACTGGGACACATGGTTGGTTCAGTTGGTTAAACAACTGCCTTTGGCTCAGGTCATGATGCTGGAGTCCGGGCATCGAATTTCACATCGGGCTCCCTGTTCAGTGGGGAATCTGCTTCTCCCTCTGCCCCTCACCACTCTCATGCTCCCTCTCTCTCTCAAATATATAAATAAAATCTTTAATAAATAAATAAATAAATATCTCCATTTCCATTCCACCATTGTTACACTAGTTTTCTCCCTACATATGAACATAGGAGAAAGAATATACTTCTTTCATGCCTGGTAAATATCCTGCATCAAAGATGGAAAAGCCGAAAGAAAAGACAGAAAGAAAAGATGGATCCTTGATTTCATATCTGAACAACTGAATCATTAATGCTTAAGTCTAGACATGAACTAGTCATGACATGAGCTAGTGTTTACCATTATGACATAAACTAGTGTTTACCCTTATTTCAACAAAGTGGACCTGGGACTTAAGTTTCTACACTAATATATTACACTATAAAATACCACAGTGTTATTAGAGAGGTTTCATACCTGGCTAGACTGGGTTAAAGTACTACAGCCCAACTTAGGAAAATTAACAACCTCCTAAAGGGAGATTTTCATTCTGATTCATATCATCATTCATTTAAAAATGCTAAGTAATTATATCATAATATACATAAATTTATCTTCCTGAATTTAACTTTCTGATGGTTAAAATGGTCCCACAACAGACAAGCAGTATTTCTATTAAAAGAGTAAAGTTAGGGCGCCTGGGTGGCTTAGTGGGTTAAGCCGCTGCCTTCGGCTCAGGTCATGATCTCAGGGTCCTGGGATGGAGTCCCGCATCGGGCTATCTGCTCGGCAGGGAGCCTGCTTCCCTCTCTCTCTCTCTCTCTCTCTGCCTGCCTCTCTGTCTACTTGTGATCTCTCTCTCTGTCAAATAAATAAATAAAATCTTTAAAAAAAAAAAAAAAGAGTAAACTTAAAAAGCAAAGGCCAGAATGAAATAAAAATGGAATAACATATAAAGACTAATGGTCAAAAACATCCCAATATTCTATTTTTCACACAGATGAGATTAGCATCAGAAAGCTGTCAGAAGGGGTGCCTGGGTGGCTCAGTGGGTTAAAGCCTCTGCCTTCGGCTCAGGTCATGATCTCAGGGTCCTGGGATTGAGCCCCGCATCGGGCTCTCTCTGCTCAGCGGGGAGCCTGCTTCCTCCTCTCCCTCTGCCTGCCTCTCTGCCTACTTGTGACCTCTGTCTGTCAAATAAATAAATAAAAAGTCTTAAAAAAAAAAAAAAAGAAAGCTGTCAGAAGCTTGAACAAAGGAAAGAAGTATACAGAAAAAGTTGCATGTATCTAAGACATTTTTATTAAAATCAACATCATGTGAAGGTTTGGAACTCCCTACCTAAGGCTAAGGAAATAAAGGCACATACAGGACATTTTTTCTTATGCATCAGTTAAATAAAACTACTTTCACCAGCTGGTGAACATTATCTAAAGCTGCTCTGTGTAAATAAGGGATATTGTAAGTATTGCCAAATCACTAAATCATGGCTCAGCTTTAATTTAAAACGGATCTTAGTAGTACTAACTACTGTATTACTATTATTCAGTTTATCTTCTCTTCACTAACTTTATATACACATTCCATATTTAAGAGAAAAAGTGCTTTTCTCGGTTTTCTTCTAGTCTCCCAATGTTATTTCCAGAACACCTATGAAACAACTCTCCAAAAAACAAGCAAAAAAACCTCCACCTGTAATATAACATGTTGCCAAAAAAATAACACCGTAATTAATTTTGTGCTATATGACATATTTGCATCTTTGATATATTAATATACATACTGTGAATGTCAAGAAGGGATTAAAATCTTTGAATCGTCACAGCCATACTTACATTTTAATTCCACTAAATTCCCATAATATACAGTCTGATAAATGCCTCTCTAAACATGAAAGTGATGTATGTGATTCCACTCTCTACATCTGCTGCATTCTAACCTTGGACTTATTCCTTAGCAATACTATGTAATTTAAATTCTTTAATTTACCAGCAATGGCTCTTATGTTCTTGACCGAATATTTGTGCGCTCAGTACCATTCTTTTTTAAGTTCCTAAAATGCAGAGATAACTAAATTCATTACTTTAAACATCTGAAGAATCAAGGCAGTGAATGAATACAGAGCATAATAAGGGATTAATTCAGATGTCCACTGTGCGAACACTGTACTTTCAGAGAAATGTCTGGCCCTTGATCAAATCCTGAGAGATAATCTCTAAATTCTTGGAAGAGGGGCAACGGGGTGGCTCAGTCGATTAGGCGTCCTGATCCCAGGGTTTCTGGGTAGAGCCCCATGTTGGGTTCCCCACTCAGTGGGAAATATGCTTGTCCCTATGCCTCTGCCCTTTCCCTGCTCGTGCTCTCTCTCTCAAATAAATAAAATCTTTTGAAAAATATGAAAATAAATAAAAAAGAAAAATAAAATAAATCCTTGGAATATCCTACAAGTGTGCCCTTCTATACCCAGAGCCTTGAGTCATCCATATGATTTATGAGACCATTACTTTTGCTGAGGGCCTGAGGCCACATGTTATCAGTCTGACCTTAGAAGGAGCTGCTGTTGACTGAGTAAGTAAGGTCAGCCAGGTATGCTCTCCATATCCGCATTATCAATGCCCAAGATTACACACATAATGTGGGAAACAAAGGCAGAAGAAAAGTTATTAAATTTCCTTACTACCTAGAGCCCCCTGACAAGTCCTTGAAACAGGGAGAGTGACCTTCCTCTAGTGACTCCACTGCCTTCACCTTAATACTCTGCTAAGGGCAAAAGGCAGTCCTAGCCTGGCTGATCCCCTGTAAGCCTACCTTAACATATAAAAATTCCTTTGGAGGGGCACCTGGGTGGCTCAGTGGGTTAAGCCGCTGCCTTCGGCTCAGGTCATGATCTCAGGGTCCTGGGATCGAGCGCCGCATGGGCTCTCTGCTCAGCAGGAAGCCTGCTTCCTCCTCTCTCTCTGCCTGCCTCTCTGCCTGCTTGTGATCTCTCTCTGTCAAATAAATAAATAAAATCTTAAAAAAAAAAAAAATTCCTTTGGAAACTTCCTTTATCTCTAAACCCTCCAAGATGTGTGCTGCAATCATCCGGAAGCATACAGCCCACCAATATACATCTGAAGGGTCTCATGACTAAGGTTTTATTAGATAACTTTGCTTCCAAAATTCCTCAGAGACTTATGCTATCCCTAACCCTCTCCCAACTTTCAAGTATATAACGGGCCACTTCTCAAAATCCCAGAGCAGCTCTTTCTGCCCACGGGTCCTGTCCTGATGTTTAATAAACCACCATTTTGTACCAAAGATGTCTCAAGAATCCCTTCTTGGTTGTCAGCTCCAGACTCCACTCCACTCACTCATATTCTAAAACTTCGTCACACATACAATGGAAAAGAAAAAAAAACTTAGAAAGGCTTGGATAAACGACCCTGGTTGGGAATCCTGTTATGTTATCACACATCTTTACAGGGAAAATTGAGTAATATTCACATGATTCTGCAATGGGACAGGATAAACAGGACTCTTGTCTCTCCTGGACTCCATCTTTTTGTACTTTCTTCTTTGATAATTTTAACCTGTATTCTTTCACTGTAATAAACCAGCCATACATACAACTGTTTTCTGAGTCCACTGACTTCTAGAAATCACTGACATTAAGGGTGGTTTACGGGATTCCTAATCACATACAGTTTTTATTTTTTTATTTTTATTCTTTAAAAATTTTTTGAAGATTTTATTTATTTGACAGAGAGACACAGCAAGACAGAGAACACAAGCAGTGGATGGAAAGAAGGAGAAGCAGGATTCCACGGCCAGGGACGGTGACTTGAGCTGAAGACCGCTGCCTAACAACTGAGCCACCCAGGTGCCCCCCCAATACAATTTTGAAATAATGTCTATTTAGCATCTGCATGTTAGTGAGCTCAGAGTAAGTCCTGCCATATGCAACACACACACACACACACACACACACACACACACACACACGAACCACCTTTGCAACCAAGATATTCTATAATAGAATTATATCAGGAAAAGAGCAAACATTCAAAATGGTCACATTCACAAAATCTGTTGTATTTCCCCAGAAACCTGAATTCTTTCAAAGAGCAATGCTTTTGTTTTGCAAAGAAACTCTAATCCCATTAAGAACCTCAGAAAACATAAAATGATAGCATAAACACTGAAACTGGAAAATCATAAGTTTTGACAAATCATATTTACATTAGAATTAAGGTGTTTAACAATAATGTATATTGTTTTTTGCAGTGATATTTTTACTCAAAAACTAGCAGTCTTAACAGATAAGAATCTCTTATTCAATTTTGCTCTGACAGGTGTTTTGCTACTAGCTAGAAGTGGAGACATTTCTAATCAATCTCAAATAAAGGCTAGCAAAAGATTACTGGCACAGCATCAATAACCAACTTCTCTGTCTTTATAATGGCCAGCATTTTACACGCGCAAATGAATAAAAACCGTGTTCCATAATAACGAAGCTTAGGATTAAACATTTTTAAAGATAAAATAAAAACAAACCAAGTAAACAAAATCTAAAACACTAAACACTTACCTCGCAAATCGTACCATCCAATACCCTGAAATTCAACCCTTTTTAACCCTTTAGGTTTCTTTCCTAAATGCATTTTTTTTAATGCATTCATTTTTTAAGTGGTAGTGTAATACCAACATTTTTCAGTACTGTTAACATTTAACACATACACACACAAACACACACACACACGGAATAGTGAGTATCCAAAAAAAAAAACCCAAGATACCTACCTTTAAACTAGATTCATAGTCTGTGTTCACTTTGAACATAAGCCCAAGTCGTAAATGAATTTCCTTGGCTCGACAAAAACTGGGATCGACATAAAGCACCTCCTGAAATGCTTTAATTGCCCTAAAAAACAAAGACAAAAAAGAATCTAAGGTTCTAATACTTACATGTAATTTTCCTGGCAGTCCAGGAAACATTCTGGTTACACAATTTTAACAGAAATTACAACTTTATAAAAACATTACTAACGACCATTTTAAAGTTAGAAATAGGTATGGAGGGGCGCCTGGGTGGCTCAGTGGGTTAACCGCTGCCTTCGGCTCTGGTCATGATCTCAGGGTCCTGGGATAGAGCCCCGCATCGGGCTCTCTGCTCAGCAGGGAGCCTGCTTCTTCCTCTCTCTCTGCCTGCCTCTCTGCCTGCTTGTGATCTCTCTCTCTGTCAAATAAATAAATAAAATCTTCAAAAAAAAAAAAAAAGAAATAGGTATGGAATCTCAGTCGATTTTTTTTCTCAAAATTTACAAATCATTCAACAATTTTTAAAGGGTTCATAACATTTTCAGTGAAAATACTAACTTAAAATGTTTGCGAAGAATGTCAGACAGTTAATGGTAGGAACATTTTTAAAAGAGCAACAGGGTAAGAATGTTAATTTTCGGGGCGCCTGGGTGGCTCAGTGGGTTAAAGCCTCTGCCTTCGGCTCAGGTCATGATCCTGGCGTGCTGGGGATCGAGCCCCGCATCGGGCTCTCTGCTCCGCGGGGAGCCTGCTTCCTCCTCTCTCTCTCTGCCTGCCTCTTTGCCTACTTGTGATCTCTGTCTGTCAAATAAATAAATAAAATCTTTAAAAAAAAAAATGTTAATCTTCATTCTTTACAGCTCCATATAAATCTACTTTTAGAAACTTCACTTTCTCCCACCACATTTTTCTATACATTCTCCTTGGAAACTATCATTGGTATAATGTGTTACATATAGGAGTTAGTATTTACTACTTCCATATGGAATTCCTACAATACAGTCTTTTCCATAAATATTATTATCCCAATAGCAATGGAGTACACCTTTGTCATAAATCAAGGACATGTATTTGTGGGACCGCTTCTGCTTTCCTCAACTATATCAACGTTCATTTGTCTATCTATCTTTGTTGAATTCTGTACCATCTTAATTATTTTGTCTTTTTAATAAGTTTTGATTATGAGTAGAGAAAAATATAGGCTAGATATATTTTGAATATTTTTTAGTATTTGATCTATGTAAATTATCTCCTCAAAAAAAGAGTATGATACAAGCTAAAAATATTTTTGAATCTCAATTACAACTGACCCCTAAACAATGCAGGGATGAAGGGCACCAACTCCCATCATAACAAGAAAATCCACTTACCACTTTTTACTACCAAAAACCTAATTATTAATAGCCTACTGTTGATTGGAATCTTTATCGATAACGTAATTCAATTAACACATTTTACAATATGTATTATAAAACAAACTCATAATAATGTAAGCTACAGAAAACACATGTCTTTAGTAAATCATTTTGGTCAGGTTCCTACTTTTAAAGTAGTGTGTTTCTATATACACTTATTACAAAATTAAGCATTTTATTTTTTTTTAAAGATTTTATTTATTGATTTGACAGACAAAGATCACAAGCAGGCAGAGAGGCAGGCAGAGAGAGAGGAGGAAGCAGGCTCCCTGCCGAGCAGAGAGCCCAATGCGGGGCTCTATCCCAGGATCCTGAGATCATGACCCGAGCCGAAGGCAGCGGCCCAACCCGCTGAGCCACCCAGGCGCCCCAAAATTAAGCATTTTAAAGGTAGAAAAAATATACAGACATCACTTAAAAATAAATTATCAAAATTTACATTCATCATTCACAACCAACATTGTCATACACAATATTAAAAGCAGTATTTTCAACCTACACTAACTTATATCCCTTCTAACTTTATGTTCTTATATTAATTTTAAGGCTTATGAGTTATCATAGCTATGTGAAAATTATGCAACATAAGGTACATAGAAACCTCACTACTACTAAACGTTACAGTTGTTTGTTCTCAACCTTACCTTGGATTTCTTCTAATCTCTTGTGACTGGCTAAAATGACTGTATTTGCTAGCACAAAGAACTGTAAGTAATGATTTATATAGTCATCCTTCCATCTTAAGAAACGGCAAAGAACAACAAATTATTCCTTTAGTGTAACTTATAGTCTTATTTCTAAATAGATCTCTTCCAAAATTTTCTAAGTCCCACCTCTCACTTCTATAACCTTCTAATCTCTTCCCATTTTTAAGTGATCAGAAGGCTATGAACCTAATGTCACTGTGTACAAATGATGCCACTTTTTCCTTTTAGCAGAATATGTACTAATTAAGATTAGGGTCCTGAACATAAGGCTGGTTTTTACCACTAAATCTTATGTAAGAATGAATAAAAATATACACATCTTACTTACCGTTATCAACAATGAGAGTTTTAAAATCAAACGATCTTTAAAGGACTTAACTAGTTCTAAAGTTTAGAATTAAAAATTCTGTGACTAGGGGCACCTGGGTGGTTCAGTGGGTTAAAGCCTCTGCCTTAGGCTCAGGTCATGATCCCATGGTGCTGGGATAGAGCCCCGAATCGGGCTCTCTGCTCAGCAGGGAGCCTGCTTCCCTTCCTCTCTCTGCCTGCCTCTCTGCCTGCTTGTGATATGTCAAATAAATAAATAAAATCTTAAAAAAAAAAAATTCTGTGACTAGGGGCACCTGGGTGGCTCAGTGCGTTAAGCCGCTGCCTTCGGCTCAGGTCATGATCTCGGAGTCCAGGGATCGAGCCCTGCATTGGGCTCTTTGCTCAGCAGGGAGCCGGCTTCTCTCTCTCTGCCTGCCTCTCTGCCTACCTGTGATCTTTCTCTGTCAAATAAATAAAATCTTAAAAAAAAAAAAATTCTGTGACTAGGATCTGTAAGAAATTTATAGAGAATTTAATTAAAATCGTCCTAATCTACTCAGTATAGGTTTTTCATCTAAAGGATGAAAGGTTATTCATCTAAAGGAAAGTATTTAGCTTAAGTTTAAGAATACTCAAAGCGATATGTAATTTAGTAGGAAAAAACTTACAGCATCTCTAATTCGTAAGTTTACTTAACAAACAATGCAGCCCTTCTAACTGGCCCAAAAGCCAAAGAGCAAGAATAGTAACAGCAGGGAAAGTCATCCAACTATAAGCTAAATATCCAACTTTAGGAAACCATAACAAAAACTGGTCAATGAACGTTTACGATCTCTGTAAAAAAAATATTCAAATGATCCATCCAACATGATTGTAAAACACTGCCAATTTATTCTGATTCTCATATAGCTTAAATGAAAACAAACAAGGACAAGACCCAAAGAATTTCCTGTACTTTACAAAATCTTACATACGACTATCAGTTACTCCTCAACAATGGAGGAATGGTTTCATTATTCCTAACTGTAGGTATTGAGAGTTTATAATCAAGTTACAAATTTCTGGTGATCACAAGGTGTTAGCAAATTTGCTGAGTGGAGGCAATGAGGGATAAGCCAAACAGTAAAATATTCTGTGTTTATCACACACACATACACACTAAGTGGAAACACAAAGTTTAAGTCAACTTACCAGTGAAATGCATTATAGTAGAAGTAAACCAAACCAAGGCCATATAAAAAGGCAGCATTCTGTTAAAAAAAAAAAAAAAAAGAAGAAAAGAAATTCCACAGTAAAAATTTTTACATCTATCTCTTAGATTATTTAGAAATCTAGTACATATGACATGCTTTTTATGTTCTCAAAATTCTACCACATATTGTAATACACTTAAAAGAAACAATGAAGGTGCACCTGCGTGGCTCAGTTAGTTAAGCGACTTCTTTCATTTGGCTCAGGTCATGATCTTGGAGTCCCCGCTCAGTGGGAAGTCTACCTCTCCCTCTAACCCCTCCCCCTCTCATGCTCTCTCTCTCTTTCTTCCTCTCTCATTCTCCCTCTCAAATAAAAAATGAAGTCTTAAAAAAAAAAAAAAATGAAGTCATAAGGTGACATGTAAAGCAGAAGCCAAACTACCTGAATTAATATTTTCAGTTTCTTTTTTATGAAGTCCACAGTGAAAACAGTCAAAATTACAATCTTAAAATTTGTGTGAAACCCGAAAAGACCCCAAACAACCAAAGTAATCCAAAGAAAGAACAAAGCAGAAGGTGTAATACTTCCTGCTTTCAAACTACATTACAAATCTATTTTAGTAAAAGTACTACAGTACTGGCATAAAAATGGACCTACAGACCAAGAGCAAAGAATAGAGAGCCCAGAATTAAACCCCCAGATTTACAGTCTACTATTATTACTCAACCAGGGAGTCAAGAATACGTGCTGGCAAAAGGATTATGTCTTCAAATAGGATTTAAAAAATGGATAAATACAGGCAGAACAATGAAACTGGACCCCTTTCTTATACTAATTCAAAAAATTAATTTGAAGTGGATCAAAGACTTACTCCAATACCTGATACCATAAAACTCCTACAATAAAATGTAGAAAAGAAGCTCCCAGACAGTGGTTTTGGTAAGGATTTCTTAAGTATGACAAGAAACAAAAGTAAAAATCATCAAGTAGGACGACATCAAGTGTAAAACTTCTGCACAACAAGGACAATAAAAATATGAAAAGGTAATCTACAAAACAGAAGAAAATTTCTGCAAACCATGTATCAGATAAGGGGTTAACATCCATAATAATATATAAAGAAATCACATAAACTTAGTAACAAAAAGTCTAATTTAAAATGACCAGACGGGGGCGCCTGGATGGCTCAGTGGGTTAAAGCCTCAGCCTCAGGCCCAGGTTGTGATCCCAGGGTTCTGGGATCGAGCCCCACATCAAGATCTCTGCTCAGCAGGGAGCATGCTTCCTCCTTTCTCTCTGCCTGCCTCTCTGCCTACTTGTGATCTCTGTCAAATAAATAAATAAAATCTTTTTAAAAAATGAAATAAAATAAAATGACCAAACGGAGGCGCATGGGTAGCTCAGCAGCTTAAGCCTCTGCCTTCCGCTCAGGTCATGGTCTCAGAGTCCTCGGATCAAGCTCTGCATGGGGCTCTCTGCTCAACAGGGAGCCTGCTTCCCCCCCACCTCTCTCTCTGCCTGCCTCTCTGCCTACTTGTGATTTCTCTCTCTGCCAAATAAATAAATAAAATCTTTTTTAAAAATAAAAATAAAATAAAATAAAATGACCAGAGGACCTGTTCCAAAGAAGACATTCAGATGACCAACAGGTAAAACAAATAAATAAAAACAAAAACAAAACAAAACAAAAACAGATGCTCAACATCTTATCATCAGGGACATACAATTCAACAGCATAATGAAATATCACCTTTTACTTCTCCTAATGAGAATGTGAAGAGGTAACAAGTATTTGCAAGGATGGAAAAAAGGGAAACTTGTACACTGCTGAAATATAAATTGGTTGAGCCATTATGGAAAATAATTTGCAAGTTCTTTAAAAAACTAGATCTACCATATGACAGAGTGATTCCACTTTTGGGCGTTTATCCAAACAAAATGAAAACAAGGTACTGAAAGGATATATGCACCCCCATGTTTACAGCAACACTATTCACAGTGGCCAAGATATGGAAACTACCTAACATACCATCAACAGATGAGTGGATAAATAAGATATAGTGCATAAACCCATTGGGGTATTATGCAGCCATAAGAAAATACATCCTCCCACTTGTGACAATATGGGAAGACCCTGAGCAATGATGATTAAGTAAGATATGTCTGGGAAAAACAAGTACTGTATGGTATCAATCACGTGTGGTATTAAAAATGCCAAACCTGTTAAAACAGAGTAAGTGGTGGTTATCAGGGTAAGGGAAGTGAACGGATAGGATAGGTTTTGTTTCAAACTACCAGTGAATAGCAAAATAACCCCTCCAGATCTAGTGCACACTACAGTTAACACAGAAAACCATACTGTATTATCAACAAAAAACTTGGACAACCCTCTTCATGAGCTCTGTACCATCACTTTACTTTCACTCAATAAACCTTGCTTTGCTGTCCAACAACAACAAAACCAAAAACTTCCCATTCCAACCACCAAGAAGAAATGATAATTATACAATGTGAGATGCTAATTATAGCTACAGTGACAATCATATTACTATATATACACATATATATATAACTAGCATATGTACATCTTAATTTTTAATGTTATATATCAAATATATTTCAATTAAAAAATAAAGCTTACAACAGTTAGTAAGTGTATGGAGAAATGCTTATCATTACCTTTCACAGCAATGAAAACCAAAATCTTAATAAGATATCTCCTCCTTAAAAAAAGAGGTTATCTCTTCCTACCTACTAAGATGGGAAGACTAAAAAAGACAAGGTTTTGGAGAAAAAGAAAAGCAACACATCCAAATAATATCAGTGTACCCTAATCAGAGGAAAATCTCAAGGGTATTCTCAGAGACAATCATGGTGATCTATGCAAAAGGACACCAAAAAACCTTACATCGAAATGATCCTAAATCTTTTTTGTTATTTTTATACCTACTTTGAGGATTAAGAATAATTTTCTACAAAATACATAATTTATTAAATTCTTGCATTGTATCAATCAGAAATCAAGTGAGGTTTAGAGGATTTATAATTTGTCAAAATGTCCATCACAAACCCCAGTTAAATAATTATAGTTTCATATGATTTTAATAACCCTGTATGAAGTGTCTGTGTTTAAAAAAATGTTAATTTTTCTGAATTTTACCAAGATGATTAGATATATGGAGGCTTCTAACTTCCCCTCTCTTCATGGTTGGGTCAAATATACAGCTACTTTCAGTTTAGTTCCCTAAATAAAACCCAGAAACTAGCTGACTTTTACATACGAAGGAACTAAGAAAATACCCAACATCAAAAAAAGGCAGAAAAGACCAAAACACTCGCACCACATTTTCCTCTCATAATCATGACGTAAACTCCAGTCTTCCTTCATCTTAAGGAGCAAAGTGTCTGGACCACACATTTAGGTGCCCACCTTTTAAGACTGGCATTCTGGTGATGGTCACCCCCAATCACCTAGCTCTTTAGTCTGATATTCATGAGTCCCTTGGGACAATTGAAAAAAAAGTAGTTGTTAAGCAGGCTATGAACACACAGACCTCCCCTTAAGATGATAAATTTCTTTGGGGCAAAAACAAAGACAACAATAGAAAATGTGTAACTTCTCAAAGAAAATGAATAGAGGGGCATCTGGGTGGCTCACTGGGTTAAAGCCTCTGCCTTCGGCTTGGGTCATGTTCCTGGGGTCCTGGGATTGAGCCCCCATCCCCACATCGGGCTCTCTGCTCGGTAGGAAGTCTGCTTCCCCCTCTCTCTCTGCCTGCCTCTCTGCCTACTTGTGACCTCTGTCAAATGAATAAATAAAATCTTAAATTAAAAAAAAAAAAAGGAAATGAATAGAAATACTGTTAATTTTGAGTAGATACACTAGAGCACAGATCAGGAAGGAATGGTTCAGTATTCAATTTGGGCTCACAATCTTTCTATGCAAACTGCAATGCTAAAAATAGGTTTTACATGTTTACAAATTCACTTTAAAAAAAAATGAAGACTGGGGCGCCTGGGTGGCTCAGTGGGTTAAAGCCTCTGCCTTTGGCTCAGGTCATGATCTCAGGGTCCTGGGATCGAGCCCCACGTCGGGCTCTCTGCTGAGCGGGGAGCCTGTTTCCTCCTCTCTCTCTCTGCCGCCTCTCTGCCTGCTTGTGATTTCTCTGTGTGTCAGAAAAATAAAATCTTTAAAAAAAAAAAAAAATGAAGACTATATGACAGAAACCTAATAGAGCCAATAAAACTTAGTATTTATAGTCAAGGGGCGCCTGGGTGGCTCAGAGGGTTAAGCCTCTGCCTTCAGCTCAGGTCATGGTCTCAGGGTCCTAGGATGGAGCTCCGCATTGGTCTCTCTGCTCAGCAGGGAGTCTGTTCGCCCCCCCACCCCGCTCCTCTCTCTGCCTGCCTCTGCCTACTTGTGATCTCTCTGCCAAATAAATAAAATCTTTAAAAAGAATTTTTAAAAATAAATAAAATTTATAGTCAAATCTATTAAAAAGTTTGCCAAACTCCAAAATTAACAATTTTGAACTTAAGTTCTTTAAATTACATACAATGATGAGAAATTAACTAAAACATAACTGCAATACACATGAAACAAAAGCATTTTTAAAAAGAATTTATCGGGACACCTGGGTGGCTCAGTTGGTTAAGCGGCTGCCTTCGGCTCAGGTCATGATCCCAGCGTCCTGGGATCGAGTCCCACATCGGGCTCCTTGCTCAGTGGGGAGCCTGCTTCTCCCTCTGCCTCTGCCTACCACTCTGTCTGCCTGTGCTCATGCTCTCTCTCTCTCTAACAAATAAATAAATAAAATCTTTAAAAAAAAAAAAAAAAAAGAATTTATCTTGGAATAAGGTTTGTAACATTGCATTTAAAAGGGTTCAATAATGTCATATGATGCATGTCCAGGAAAAGAGAACCATCAGGGAAGGAGAGAAGGTGTGCATGTACATCTGTGTGTCTGTCGTTTATTAGAGGGAACTAATTGACTTGAGATTATGCAGGCTGACAAATACAGTGATCTGAATAATCAAGTCAGAAACAGAAAAATAA